ACGAAAGAACAATGGGAGAGAGACAAACAAAGAGGTTTTCGGAAGAAAGGAAGAAAGAAAGAAAGAAGCTATGCAACGAAAGAACAATAGCAGAGAGACAAAGAGAGAGGTTTGCGAAAGAAAGAAAGAAAGAAAGAAAGAATCTATGTAAAGAAAGAACAAAGGGAGTGACACAAAGAGAGATATTTGCGAAAGAAAGAAAGAAATAATCTGTGCAAAGAAAAAACAAAGGGAGTGAGACAAAGAGAGGTTTGCGAAAGAAAGAAAGAAGAAAGATTCTATGCAAAGAAAGAACAAAGGGAGAGAGACAAAGATAGACGTTTGCGAAAGAAAGAAAGAAGGAAAGAATCTATGCAAAGGAAGAACAAAGGGAGAGAGACAAAGAGAGACGTTTGCGAAAGAAAGAAAGAAGGAAAGAATCTATGCAAAGGAAGAACAAAGGGAGAGAGACAAAAAGAGACGTTTGCGAAAGAATGAATGAAGGAAAGAATCTATGCAAAGGAAGAACAAAGGGAGAGAGACAAAGAGAGACGTTTGCGAAAGAATGAAAGAAGGAAAGAATCTATGCAAAGAAAGAACAAAGGGAGAGAGACAAAAAGAGACGTTTGCGAAAGAATGAAAGAAGGAAAGAATCTATGCAAAAGAAAGAACAAAGGGAGAGAGACAAAGAGAGACGTTTGCGAAAAGAATGAAAGAAGGAAAGAATCTATCTAAGAAAGAACAAAGGGAGAGAGACAAAGAGAGACGTTTGCGAAAGAATGAAAGAAGGAAAGAATCTAAAAAGGAAGAACAAAGGGAGAGAGACAAAGAGAGACGTTTGCGAAAGAATGAAAGAAGGAATGAATCTATGCAAAGAAAGAACAAAGGGAGAGAGACAAAGAGAGACGTTTGCGAAAGAATGAAAGAAGGAAAGAATCTATGCAAAGAAAGAACAAAGGGAGAGAGACAAAGAGAGACGTTTGCGAAAGAATGAAAGAAGGAAAGAATCTATGCAAAGAAAGAACAAAGGGAGAGAGACAAAGAGAGACGTTTGCGAAAGAATGAAAGAAGGAAAAGAATCTATGCAAAGAAAGAACAAAGGAGAGAGACAAAGAGAGACGTTTGCGAAAGAATGAAAGAAGGAAAGAATCTATGCAAAGGAAGAACAAATGGAGAGAGACAAAGAGAGACGTTTGCGAAAGAATGAAAGAAGGAAAGAATCTATGCAAAGGAAGAACAAAGGAGAGAGACAAAGAGAGACGTTTGCGAAAGAATGAAAGAAGGAAAGAATCTATGCAAAGGAAGAACAAAGGAGAGAGACAAAGAGAGACGTTTGCGAAAGAATGAAAAAAGGAAAGAATCTATTTGAACAAAGGAAGAGACAAAGAAGACGTTTGAAAGAATGAAAGAAGGAAGAAAAATGCAAAGAAAGAAAAGAAAAAGGGAGAGACAAAGAGAGACGTTTGCGAAAGAATGAAAGAAGGAAAAAAATCTATGCAAAAGGAAGAACAAAGGAGAGAGACAAAGATAGACGTTTGCGAAAGAAAGAAAGAAGGAAAGAATCTATGCAAAGGAAGAACAAAGGAGAGAGACAAAAGAGAGACGTTTGAGAAAAAGAATGAAAGAAGGAAAGAATCTATGCAAAACGAAGAACAAAGGGAGAGAGACAAAGAGAACGTTTGCGAAAAGAATGAATGAAGGAAAGAATCTATGCAAAGGAAGAACAAAAGAGAGAGACAAAGAAGACGTTTGCGAAAAGAATGAAAAGAAGGAAAGAATCTATGCAAAGGAAGAACAAAGGGAGAGAGAAAAGAGAGACGTTTGCGAAAGAATGAATGAAGGAAAAGAATCTATGCAAAGGAAGAACAAAGGGAGAGAGACAAAGAGAGACGTTTGCGAAAGAATGAAAGAAGGAAAGAATCTATGCAAAGGAAGAACAAAGGGAGAGAGACAAAAGAGACGTTTGCGAAAGAATGAAAAAAGGAAAAATCTATGCAAAGAAAGAACAAAGGGAGAGAGACAAAGAGAGACGTTTGCGAAAGAATGAAAGAAGGAAAGAATCTATGCAAAGGAAGAACAAAGGGAGAGAGACAAAGAGAGACGTTTGCGAAAGAATGAAAGAAGGAAAGAATCTATGCAAAGGAAGAACAAAGGGAGAGAGACAAAGAGAGACGTTTGCGAAAGAATGAAAGAAGGAAAGAATCTATGCAAAGAAAGAACAAAGGGAGAGAGACAAAGAGAGACGTTTGCGAAAGAATGAAAGAAGGAAAGAATCTATGCAAAGGAAGAACAGAGGGAGAGAGACAAAGAGAGAGGTTTGCGAAAAAATGAAAGAAGGAAAGAATCTATGCAAAGAAAGAACAAAGGGAGGGTGACATAGAGAGATGTTTGCTAAAGAAAGAAAGAAAGAATCTATGCAAATAAAGAACAAAGGGAGAGAGACAAACAAAGAGATTTGCCAACGAAAGAATCTATGCAAAGGAAGAACAAAGGGAGAGAGACAAAAGAAAGTTTTGCGAAAGAAAGAAAGAAAGAATATGTGCAAAGAAAAAACAAAGGGAGTGAGACAAAGAGAGAGGTTTGCGAAAGAATGAAAGAAAGAATCTATGCAAATAAAGAACAAAGGGAGAGAGAGAGAGAGAGGTTTGCGAAAGAAAGAAAGAAGAAAGAAGAAAGATTCTATGCAAAGAAAGAAGAAAGGGAGAGAGACAAAGAGAGAGGTTTACGAAAGAAAGAAAGAAGGAAAGAATCTATGCAAGAAAGAACAAAGGGAGAGTGAAATAGAGAGATGTTTGCTAAAGAAAGAAAGAAAGAATCTATGCAAAGAAAGAACAAAGGGAGAGAGACAAAAGAAAGTTTTGCGAAAGAAAGAAAGAAAGAAAGAATCTATGCAAAGAAAGAACAAAGGGAGAGAGACAAAAAGAGAGATTTGCAAAAGAAAGAAAGAAAGAAAAGAAAAAAGAAAGATAAAGAATGGAGAGTCAAAAAGAGAAGGAGGAGAAAGAATTAAGAAAAAAAGAATCTATGCAAATAAAGAACGAAAGGAAAGAGACAAAGAGAGAAGTTTGAGAATGAAAGAAAGAAAGAATGGAAAGTGACAAAGAGAGAAAGATTAGAAAGAAAATGAAAAAGAATCTGTGCAAATTAAGAACGAAGTGTGAGAGACAACGAGAGAAGTTTTATATAGAAAGAAAGAAAGAAAGAAGAAAGGGAGAAACAGACAAGAAGTAGAAGAAAGAATGAAGGGATCAAAGGAAGAGAGAGAGAGAGAGAGAAGAGAGAGAGAAAAAAAAAGAAAGAAATAATGATAGAAGAGGGGGAGACAAAGAGATAAGGTTGAGAAAGAAACGAAGTAAGAGCAAATGTAGAGAGATAAAGAGAGAAAGTTGAGGAAGAAATAATCTAAGCAAAAAAGGGGTGAAGGGAGAGAGATAACATAGAAGTTTCGAGTAGAAAGAAAGAAAGAAAGAAAGAAAGAAAGAAAGAAAGAAAGAAAGAATAGATAGATAGAAAGAAAAGGAGAAAGAATATGTACAAAGAAAGAAAGAAGGGAGAAGACAAAGAGAGAAGTTTCAAAACGAAACTGATGTTGAACCTGTGCAAAGCAAGAATGAAGGCAGAGGGAAAAGAGATGAGGGTGATAAAGAAAGAAAGAAAAAAAGAAAGAAAGAAAGCATGATGAGAGACAAAGAGAGAATTTTGAGAAAGAAATAAAGAATCTAAGCAAAGAAAAGAGTGAGGTCAGAGAGACAAAGAGAGATGGCAGAGAAAGAAATAAAGTAAGAACTAAGGGAGAGATGCAAAGAGAGAATCTATGTAATAAAAAGGGGAAGTGTGAGAGACAAAGAGAGAAGGTCGAGTAAGTAAGAAAGAACGAAGGTAGATAGACAAAGAGGGAAATTTGAGAAAGAAAGGATGAAGGGAGAGGGACAAAGAGATAAGGTTGAGTTAAAAAGAAAGAATGAACGAAGCGTGAGAAAGAAAGAAAGAATTTTGAGAAAGAAAGAACGAAAGAAAGAAGGGGGACTAACAATAAAAGAAAGAAAGAAAGAAAGAAAGAAAGAAAGAAGCGTGGGAAACTAAGAAAGAAGTTTGAGAAAGAAAAAAGAAAGAAAGGAAAAGAACGAAGAGGGACTAACAAAGAGAGAATGCTGAGAAAGAAAGAAAGAAAGAAAGAAAGAAAGAAAGAATGAACAAAGCGTGAGAAACAAAGAAAGAAGATTGAGAAAGAAAGAAAGAACGAACGAAGGGGGACTGACAAAGAAAGAAAGAAAGAAAGAAAGAAAGAAAGAAAGAATGAACGAAGCATGAGAAACAAAGAAAGAAGTTTGAGAAAGGAAGAAAGAACGAAGAGGGACTAAAGAAAGAAAGAAAGAAAGAAAGAAAGAAAGAAAGAAAGAAAGAAAGAAAGAATGAACAAAGCGTGAGAAACAAAGAAAGAAGTTTGAGAAAGAAAGAAAGAACGAAGGGGTACTAACAAAGAGAGAATGCAGAGAAAGAAAGAAAGAAAGAAAGAAAGAAGAATGATGGGAGGGAGATAAAGAAAGAAAGTTGAGAAAGAAATAAAGAAAGATGAGATAAGCAGCCATTGAAAGTAAGAAGAGGGAGAGAGAGAGAGAGAGGGTAGAGAGAGAGAGGGGAGAGAAGTAGTGGAGAGAAGTAAATGATAGAGCAGAAAAGTGAAAGAATTAGAGAAAAGAGAGAAGGAAAGGAGAATAAATGAAAAATGAAACAAAAAAGAGAAAAGGAAATTAAGGCGTGACAAGAGAAAGAAAGAAAGAATGAACGAAGCGCGAGAAACAAAGAAAGAATGAGAGAAAGTGGAGAGAGAAAAGAAAAGAAGAAAAGATACAAAAGAGAAGGCAGCAAAGAGAGAGAGAGAGAGAAGAGAGAGAGAGAAGAGAGAGAGAGAAGAGAGAGAGAAGAGAGAGAGAGAGAGAGAAGAGAGAAGAGAAAGAGAAGACTTTTGTGAAGCATATGTTACCATAATGGAAACAGAAGGGGAGTGATTTTTGAATTAGTTAATAGGAGAGAGATAAAAGAGAGAGCAAGTGTGCGAGAAAGAGAGAGAGAGAAAGACAGACAGACAGACAGAGAAAGAATGAAAGTGTGTAATAGTAAGAGGAATACACTGATACATTTACAAATTGCAAGTTATGAAGCCGAGCGTAGGCGGCGTTTAGGTCACACCCAATGAGGCATGAAATTAGTATCACTGGTTCCTAGTTACTGGCAGTTTGATGAAGACAATAACGGGCGGGGGACGCGGAGAAACGGATATATAGCAACAGTAAAGATGTTAACAAACGAACTTAGGTGGTTTGCTAGATGACGAGCATAGATATATATATATATAAAAGACTGATAAATACTTAGATAAACCTGAACAGATAGATAGATATGAACAGACTGATAGACAGAAAGATAGACATTAACAAGATGAGACAGACAGACAGACAGATAGATAGATAGATAGATAGATAGATAGATAAATATATAGATAGATGGATAGATAGATAGATAGATATAAACAAAATAAGATAGATATGAACAGACTAAAATAGATAGATATGAACAGACTGAGATAGATAGATATAAACAGAGTGAAATATATATATATATATATATATATATATATATAGAGAGAGAGAGAGAGAGAGATAGATAGATAGAGAGAGATATGAACTGTTTTAGATAAGATAGATAGATAGATAGATATGAACAGACTGATAGATAGACAGAAAGATAGATAGATATGAATAGACTGATAGATAGACAGAAAGATAGATATTAACAAGCTGAGACAGACAGACAGACAGACAGATAGATAGATAGATAGATAGAGAGATAGATAGATAGATAGATAGATAGATAGATATAAACAAAATGAGATAGATATGAACAGACTAAAATAGATAGATAAATAGATTTTTCGATAGATATGAACAGACTGAGATAGATAGATATAAACAGATAAATATATATATATATATATATATATATAGAGAGAGAGAGAGAGAAAGAGATAGATAGATAGATAGATAGATAGATAGATAGATATGAACAGACTTAGGTATGAACAAACTTAGATATGAACAGAGTGAAATAGAAGGAAAGAAGTAAGAAATGAAATGAAAGAAAGAAAGAAAGAAAGAAAGAAAGAAAGAAAGAAAGAAATATGGCACCTTGCATTTATTGGAAATATTCATAGAAATATGAGTTAATTTTTTCTTATTCAGTTTATTAAACAGGTTGTTAATTTTTTTTTCTTTAAAACGGAAAATAACTGGGTTGAAAATAATTCACTAAGAATGTACTAGACGATCCTAAGGAAAGAAGAAGGAAAGAAAAAAAAAAAGGAAGGAAGGAAGAAAAAAGAAAGAAAGAGAAATGTATGACGCATGACCCAGTTGATGGTAGAGATAGGTCTGCGTGTGGTCGACTTTTATTTTTTTAAAACAAAGGGAAGAATAGAATTGGAAATAATAAAAGAGAAAGAAAGGGAAAAGACATGATATCGACCAGATGTCGGTCAGAGGCCTCTGACCGACTCTTGCGTGAAAAACCCTTATCAATTTGGAGTGAAGAGAAATTTTTATTTTTTCTTTTTGAACAATAGAAACGAAATTTGTGATCTGAGAGAAAGTGTCTTTGGGTTGAGGGGGTGACCAGTGAAACGATATACAGAATTGACCTGTTAAGAATTGGACACCCAAAGAAAGTAGAGATATTTCTAGATAATTAAGATTTTTTCCATTAGGGTAAAACAAAGAAGTAAAAAAGAGGACAATTGCTTTTTTTCTCAGAGGGCGCCAAGAAGGCGGAAAAGAACCTTTTCTAAAGTCAAGACTAATTAGCAGCAGGCTGTTTGACAAAGTCAGGTGAAAGCTAAAGATTGTCATTTTGCGTACGTGCAAAAGGTGCGAAATCGGATTTTGTTTTTTTAAAAACCAGCACGAGGTAACCACACCCGCCAACAAAAGGGAGAGGGGTGTTCGGTCAATAACAATTGGTCGAATACAATCACGTGACCGCGGAAGAAGAAGGAAAAGAAAACCTCGATCAATAACTGTTGGACGAGGCGGTCACGTGGGCTGCGGAAAAGAAGAGAAAGAAAAGGTTCGATCAGGAACGATTGGTTGAGAGCGATCACCTGACATGAAGAGACTAAGAGAAATGATAGAGCATAGAAAGTAGGGTGAAAACAATAACGATAATGGAAATCAAAATTAATACGATATGAAATTATCGATAAAACCCTGACGCCGACATTTGTTGCGGCGTCAATATAAGCAGGACCCCAGTCGACAGAAATCAGTTTGAGTTGGAGATGCAGCCGGAGTTGGGCTGAGTTGCAGCAGGACCGCGGGCAGGGAAGATCCTGAACGACATAAGAGATTCACTCGATTTGCGGGCAAAGAACCCTCAGACAGAAGGACTTCCAGCCCAAGTCGAAGACAGAAGAACTCAGCCAAGTAGATGAAGAAGAAGATAGCCTGAAAACCTGAGAAGAGTTGGAGCAGAAAGATGAAGTTGGAGCTGAAGTTGAGTTGAAGTTGGAGTTAGGTTGACGTGAGTTGCAGTTCACCCTCGGACGACAGAAGAATCCTCGAAACAAGAAATCCTTCCAGCCCAAGTTGAAGACAAGAAATCTTCCACCGAATTGAAGAAGAAATTCCACTGAATCGAAGCAAGAAATCTTCCACTGAATCGAAGAAATCTTCCACTGAAAACAAGAAATCCTTCCAGCCCAAGTTGAAGACAAGAAATCTTCCACCGAATTGAAGCAAGAAATCTTCCACTGAATCGAAGCAAGAAATCTTCCACTGAATCGAAGCAAGAAATCTTCCACTGGGTTGAAACAAGAAATCTACCAGTCTAAACAGAAGAAGAAGAAGAAATACAACTCAAGTCGGAGAGAAGAATCAACTGCGAATGATCGATAGAAATTAGCCCCAGTGTCGAACTAAAACCACACCGACATACATACATGATTCTAGAAAAGTAGGTAATTCGACATTTTCCTATTGTGATAGAAGCTTGGGTGCCATAGTCCACAGAGCGGGTCAAATTGAGAACAATTTTGTTTTTTATGTAACGGACTTTAGATATAAAAAAGGATGTTACCCTTTTTATCAAAGTATTTTGTTTGGTGTCGTGAGTTTTATTTTATTTGTGTTTGCCACCCCCGTCGGACTCAACTTGTATCGGCCCCGATCCCTGCTGGTCCTGTCTGTCTAAGATCTAAACACAGCGTGGGTGGACAGACCGGAGATCAAATAGTTGCTTTAGTGACCAGGTATTGAAGCGAGTCAGGAAAGGCGAGGCTGGTGATCATCTGACCAAAGGGTTGGAGCGCAACCTTGACCCAGGAGGAACGACCAGAGGAGCGACGTCACCGTTGGCGCGTAACAAAGGATCCGACACTGGGCCAGGTGTAACCGTCACAGAAAGAAAGAAAGAAAGAAAAGAAAAGAAAAGAATGAAAGGAAGTAAGGATGGAAGGAACATTTAAACTGTGTGATGTTTGGAGACTTCTTGCTGAGAGGGGAAAAAGTAATCAGGCCATTCGTTAGAAAAAGCTTGGGCAAGCTTCTCTGGATCTCCAATTGGTATTTTTGAGTCTCTTCATAACCAGTAAAGAAATTGTCTTGCATTCGTTGCCATACAGAAAAAATAGCTGACATAAGAACATTTTCATACCTTTTAATAAAGACCCGGCTTATGTGCTTTGACATAGTGTATTGGTTAACGCGCTAGATCAATTGACTTGTGGGTTCGATCCTCGCTTGATTCACCTCATGCCACTTCCAAGCTACGCTTAATCGATTGATTGAACGGTTCGTTTATTTACGGTCTATCAACCCTTCGCAGGTTAATTAAAACAGTATCCTTTTGCTAGATTCTAAGAATTTTTAAAAATAATAATGATTTAGTGATACAAGTTATTCTCCCCCCAGCTATGGGCTAATTAGTAAGACATGTATCATTAGATCTTTATTATCTCAAAAGAAAATTTTTTGAATCTAAAAAATAATTTCTGGTTTTAAAATAAACTGCAAATGGTTGATAAGCCATAGAAAACGAATCGCCAACTCAATCAATCTGCTCTGAAAATATATAAATATATAAAAACTAACGTAAACAAACAGTGAGGGATAAGTTTATATATTGATTGTAATATAAAACGGATCCCTCACTTTATATCCACATTGTAATTTCTTGTTTGTCTAGCAAATTCTGATTCGGTAAGAATCCAGCGCTTCTCCCCCTCCAGATATAATGTAAGTATGTAAAAATATTTTATGGCTTTAAATACCCTACAAAGGGACGATAAGCCGTCAAAAGCAAATCAATCAAACAACAGACTAACAAAGTTAGTATTGAAATGAAGCAAGTAAATGTTGAAGATTTTTTTTCTATCTTCCCAATATAAGCTTTTGGTCTACGCTTGATCCAATTACGCGTAGCACCTTTAACTTTGGCATCGGATAACGCCTCTTTGCAATTCTGGAAGCAGCCAGAATTCTCATAGTGTCAAATCAGTGCTGCATAATAGATGTGCATCAATTGCGAATTTAAGGCCTTTCAATGTCTGTGTAATTTGTTGATTGTATTAATACGCCATTGGGATTTACTATTGCAGCCACAAAAAAAAAATATTTCACCCGTAGGGTTTATTTAGCAGACGGCTTGTTTGAGCGACTCGCTAGAAGACATTACTTTTATACGTCAGTGAATTTAGATGGTGCTAAAAATTCAACCATAGATCAACACTTTATATGCCAATTGGACATAGTAAAAAAGAATGCTATTACACACTGCCATCACAGTAACGCATTTAAACGGGAAAAAGGAAATCAAACATATACACTGCTAGAGATTCCGTAGTATATAATGGTAATAGTAATATTAGCAGTTTACTTATAAGTGAACATTTGACATTCTTTAACTGAGCAGCAATTACAAAAAAATTATAAAAAATCGTTCTCTTAAGACAATTTTTATGAAAAATAGGGTTTTCAAGTTCAGTAATTGTTATCACTCTTTCTCTCTCTCTCCCTCTCTCTCTCGCTCTCCCTCAGCGTATTATATTTTCTCCCCCGTTTATATGTGTTAGTTTACTGTGATGTCACTGTGTAATAGCATTCTTTTTTACTATGTCCGATTGGCATATAAAGTGTTGATCTATGGATTGAATTTTTAGCACCATCTAAATTCACTGACGTATAAAAAGTAATGTTTTCTCCCAGTGCCTCAAACAAGGCGTCTGCCTAAATAAGCCCTACAGGTATCTATCTTTTTATCTAAATCTATCTATCGTATTAATACAATCAACAAATTACACAACATTGAAAGGCCTCTAATTCGCAATTGATGCATCTATTATGCAGCACTGATTTCTATCTATCTATTCTATCTATCTATCTATCTATCTAAGAGGCGTTATCCCATGCTATTTATCAATCTCAGTCCGTTCATATCTATCTATCTATCTATCTATCTATCTATCTATCTATCTATCTATCTATCTATCTATCTAATTCTGTTCATATCTATCTATCTATCTATCTATCTATCTAATTCTGTTCATATCTATCTATCTATCTATCTATCTATCTATCTATCTATCTATCTAATTCTGTTCATATCTATTTATCTATCTATCTAATTCTGTTCATATCTATCTATCTATCTATCTATCTATCTATCTATCTATCTATCTATCTATCTCATTCTTCCCTATCTCAGTCATCTCTACTCTCTCTCTCCCCATCTATATATCGAATTCTGTTCATATCTATCGAATTCTGTTCATATCTATCTATCTATCTATCTATCTATCTATCTATCTATCTATCTATCTATCTATCTATCTATCTATGTCTGGTCTGTTCTATTAAAGACTTGTAGAGACTGTGGACGTTGAATTTCTGGCACTACCGTATTGGTTCGCAGAAAATATTGTCTAACCAATCTGTTGGAGAAGTCGCACTGTCTGTGAATAGGAACTTTATTTTAAAGATCCCCTACCCTTACAAGTCCTAGAAAACTACTATCTTGAGACGACCGTGAACTTTGCACTTGCTGGCCCGCAGAAAATAGTGTCTAACCAACGCGTTATTGAAGGCTCAGTGTTTTTGAATTGGTACGGTTATTTTACAAGCCTAACCTAGTGTGACATAAGACTTTGGTAGTGAGAGACACCAGGAAGATTCAACTGACGACATCAGCCTATGAGTCACGAGAATTTAGGTAGTTAACCATCACGTTAAGCTTAGCGGCCTATTTGTTTATCGATATAGGCACGATCGCAAACCGTCAAGTAAGATACAACAGCATTACAGAAAGCGGGGGGGGAACAAAAACAAATACCGTATCGGCAAGCAGATAGAAAAGTAGAAATGATTTTTTTTTGGGGGGGAAAGAATGAATGAATGAAAGGAAAAAAAAATTAGTATTGAAGAGTAAGACAAGAAACAAATCCTGTGGCGAGGAGGAGAGGCAGCGGGGGTGGGGGTGGGGGCCTTCGGTAAAGGGTGGAAGGGGGAGTGAACGATATGTCAGGAGGAGCGTGGGTGGGAGCCGAGCTGAAATTGAATACAGGTAGCAGTAATATCGATCCGTAATGATGGAGTGCAGTGAAATGGTGAGGGGTAGAGATAGATAGAGACATAACGAGAGAGAGAGAGAGAGAGAGAGGAGAGAGAGAGAGAGGGTAGATAGATAGATAGATAGATAGATGATATGAATAGATAGAGAGGGGTATAGATAAATAGATGGATAGATAAATAGAAAGAGTGAGAGAGATAGAGATAGACAGATATATAAATAGATAAAGAAAGAGAGGGGTAGAGATAGATAAATAGAAAGAGAGAGAGAGAGAGGTAGAGATAGACAGACAGATAAATAGATAGAGAGAGAGAGGTAGAGATAGACAGATAGATAAATAGAGAGAGAGAGAGAGAGAGGAGTAGAGATAGATAAATAAATAGAAAGAGAGAGAGAGAGAGAGGGGTTAGAGATAGACAGATAGATAAATAGATAAAGAGAGAGAGAGGGGTAGAGATAGATAGATAGATAGAGAGGGAGAGAGAGAGGAATAGATAGATAGATGGATAGATAAATAGAGAGAGAGAGGTAGAGATATATAAATAGATAAATAAAGAGAGAGAGGGATAGAGATAGATAAATAAAAAGAAAGAGAGGTAGAGATAGATAGATAGATAGAGAGAGAGAGAGAGAGGTAGAGGTAGATAGATGGATAGATAAATAGAAAGAGAGCGAGAGAGGTAGAGGTAGATAGATACATAGATAGATAAGGAGAGAAAGAGAGACAGAGAATTTGGCGCGTTTCTTTTTAACCATTCCTCCCTAGTTTAAGTATCGGCGGTCGCGTGATTTTGCGTCTGCGTCTTACTCTCTGTGTGCATTCTCTCATTCACGGTAGGTGCGAGCGCGCATGCGCACGTGAGCAGGCAGGCATGCGTACGTGAGCGGGCGCGCATGTTTTTACGCGTTTCGCATGAGAAAGATGGTAGAACGTATTTGAGAACATAGTAAACATTGTGTTTCCCTCCCATAACATATATATATATATATATATATATATATATATATATATATATATATATGGACTCTGCGACGTATGAGGGTCAAGCAGCTCAGTTCCTAGTAACCAACAGCCCAGGCACCAGCAGATGAGATTTGATTATCGTGGTGAAGCCTGTTTTGCAGAACCAACCACACTTTTTGAAGGGCCGAATACGGAGACCTGGTGCACTACGTGCCACAAGGTCCCCAAACGACACCCCTCAGGTTTTGAATTCAGAGTTGTCCTTCTCCTAGACCAGTTGCCATCCAAGGTATAGAACCCGGAATTAATACCTTTCTCAAGGGTATTAGCACGTAAAGTTAATGTAATGGATTCGATTGAAATCGAAATCAGCTCTCCGATACACACACACACACACACACACACACACACACACACACACACACACACACACACACATATATATATATATATATATATATATATATATATATATATCAAGATCTCCTATATATATAAATATATATATATATATATATATATATATATATATATATATATATATATATATATATAGATCTTCAAAAGTAAATCAAATATTTTTTTCATATAGTGCTCAATATTAAAAATATTAAATTAATATTGCTATTAAAAATAGAATATTTATAGTATTATATAGAGAAAGATTACTTAACTCTAAATATCAATTTTTGGTATTGTTTCCTGACTTTGAAGTTTCTTGAAATTGTCTATTCTTCAAGGGTCTGTTGTCTGAAATAAAAGTGCTCTTTGAAGATCGGATAATTCCAAGAAACTTCGAAGTCGGTGAAACATCAAAATTGATATTTTCAGTTAAGTAATCTTTTATATATATATATATATATATATATATATATATATATATATATATATATATATATATATATATATATATATATATATGTGTGTGTGCGCGCGCTTAGGCGTGCATATTTTATTACAGAGAAATAATCAATATAGGAGATAGTGCTTTTATAGATATAGACATTGAAATCAACATCTACTATTTAATTCATAACTGGGGTGGGGGGAGTGTAGAAGATCTCGATTGATATTTTTCCCAAGTGTATTTGTGCGTAAGTGAATATAACGAAGTTTGATGGAATTCGAACTCGGATCTCCAAATTCGCATTCCTAGACACTATCCATTATAAACGCTTATAAGGTGTTAATTCTTAAACCCATGAATTACTCCCTTTACTGGCGAGAATCTTTTCTTAAATTCCTTATAACACAGCTACATCGAAATATTAAGTATCTAAAAATAATGTTTGGGCACCTAGATGTGGTGTAATGGTTAGCAGGCTTGTCTCGCTAGAACAATTACGGCTGAGTAGTGAGTTCGATTCTCACTGGGTGCCCCCTAATTTCGGCCTTGTGCCACATCTGAGCTATGCTTGGAAAATCAAAGGGCACCTCGAGGTGGTGTAATGGTTAGCAGGCTTGTCTCGCTAGAACAATTACGGCTGAGTAGTGGGTTCGATTCTCACTGGGGGCCCCCTAATTTCGGCCTTGTGCCACATCTGGGCTATGCTTGGAAAATCAAAGGGCACCTCGAGGTGGTGTAATGGTTAGCAAGCTTGTCTCGCTAGAACAATTACGACTGAGTAATGAGTTCGATTCTCGCTGGGTGCCTCCTAATTTCGGTCTTGTGCAACATCTAAGCTGTGCTTGGAAAATCACTATCTAAAACTAATGGTTCCTTTCCTTCGTAGTTACATCTTTCTGTAATCTTTGTTCATTTTGGCGCGCTAACGTCTGTGACGTCATTTAAAATGGATCGTTTTTCTAACGCCAAAGACATCAAAATCTTTTCAACATTAGTTATCTTATTTTGTTTGTTTTTTGATATTTTTAGTTTGTTTTTTGGGCAATATCCTCCCCCAACTCATCGCATATCATTTAAAGATTTATATATATATAGAGATTTTTATGCTCATTAAATTTTCATGTCATAGGGATGTGTTTTTGTAGGTTCCCTAAGAGTATTACGGTATTATGGTATATGGAGTATTGAATGATGATGGATGAGGTTCTTTCGGTGGATGTGCAAATTGTAATGAGTAAATAGATTGTGAATCTGATTAGCTAGCTATAAGATAGTAAGTGACGACCAGCGTCTCAACCCTGTCCCTGTTTTAGGCCTTAGGCCATAAATTGTATTTTATTTGCAATAAATCTCGACATCTGCTGTGATTTGAGCTCTAAGGGATGGGCTTCGCCAGGTCTACTTGACCAAAACATGCTACACAGGAATGAATACATTTTCCGACTTTCACTATGAGTCTTACTAGTACCAAATAACCCATTACTGCATACTGCATTGTCGAGTCATTAGCGACTAAATGTTGCAGCTTGGGCTCCAGAGCTACGTATACAGCCAGTAGAGTGATGCCAGGAATCGTTGATCGGAGAAATTCCTAAACTAGTGACAACAGCCAGAGTGGACGGCTCCTCTAATAAAATCAATATTCCATGATAAAACCGGGGTTCGAAGTCCTCTAAGAGTATTGCGGTATTATGGTATATGGAGGATTGAGTGATGATGGATGACTTCTTATGGTGCATGTGCAATTTGTAACGAGTGAATGGGTTGTGAATCGGATTTGCTACGTATAAGATAGTAAGTGTCGACCAGACCCAACCCTTTCCTCCTTTTAGGCCTTGGGCCAAAATTGTATTTTATTTACATTAAATCTCAACACCAAAGACGTTAGGATTTAAAAAAAAAATCATTTCATCGCAAGCGATATTGCCAATTGAACGCAAAGGGTTACTGGGAGAGAAATAGAATGAAAAGACTTTAGTGAGGGGAAAGAACAATAAAGGAACATAAATAATGTAGACAAAAGATGGCGATTGGCGTTGCATTTAAGTATTTGGTTTGGTTTGATTATTTTTGTTTAGTGGCATATCAAACTCTATGGGATATTTAATGTCGACATTTAAATATTTTGAACGCAATTTTATACTTTCAGGCTAAATATATATTTTATAGATATATAGTTTATAGAGGATCTGTTATAGGTGTTGTATGTTTTGGCGTTACATTTAAATTACAGTATATTCTACATATGTATATAATGGCAGCAACAAAAACAAAACTACTGACTTAAACTCGAGAGATTAATGATTACTTGAAATTAAATATTTACGATTTATCTTTTTATTAGTAGATAGAATAAAAATATTTTTATAGCAAGTGCTCTGACGAGTTTTCTTCTCTGGTGTCTGAACTATATGAATTTAAGCGTTGCATCTCGTTCTGACTTTTTTTACTGTCGAAATAGCGAAATGCAACCGCCATTTCTACTAGAACAGTTACTCTTCTCTCACTTCCTTTCCGTTTAATTGCTTCCCTTATAACTACAATCTTCAAAAATTTAAATTCAACGTCAATCGCCATCTTTTGGAACCCTGTTCATCTTTTGTCCTTTTCTCAATCCTTCCTATTCTCAGTCTCTGATTTCACTTTCACTTTCACTTTCATTTTTACTTTCATTTCTTGCAAAACAGAATTTATTGTTAAGATTATCATTCAAAAAACGAGAGCACATACGAGCCTCACCACACCAGTTGGGGGTTGCTTACATTATTAATTCCTGGACTATTGTCCACATCATACTTGCTATTATCACAACTATTCAGTCGCTGTTTCCTCCGGCTGACTTCAGGTGCCTGTTGATCCTTGTAACGATCAGGGATTTCTAACTAAAGTCTTTATCTAATCTACGAAGTAGATTGTTCCCATTCCATTGTCCATGTCTAGAAGAGATAACTGTTTTTTTCGTATTCAGTTATTGCACGCCCTATTTCCAATGAGGCTTACGATCACCGAAGTTAAGCAACGCCGATTCTTTTCAGAAGCTTGATGGTTGACCGCTTGGGAATACAATTGCTGTGAGCTTAGACGTGCGGGTGGTGTAATGGATAATGGCTCGGAATTGTTAATCGGAAAGTTCCAATTCCAGCTATGTTCGTTATATTCACGTACGTGCAAATACTCTTGGAGAAGGTGCGAATCCAGCTCTTTTTCCACCACCTATGGATTAATTAGTAAGACTTGTATCACTAAACCATTATTATCTTTAAAAGTGAACATTTAAAAGCTAAAGATATTTTCTGCAGAAGGTTGACGAGCCGTAAAAACGAATCAATCAATTAATATTTCCACTGAGTTGAGGTCTGAACTATCGGCGGCTCAAGGATTGAACTCGAAATTACTATATTGCCAAATTCACGAACCACCGATTTATCCCAATTGATGTAGTGAATGAAAATGTTGGTTCATGAATCTGGACACACACACACACACACACACACACACACACACACACATATATATATATACATATATATACATATATATGCACATTCCATTGAATACGACAGACAAGGTGCTTTTATTGAGATTTTATACAATTTCTCATGTGATCTAATAATTTTTTTCTTTTCAGATGATAAATTATATAAAAACTGTCCGAATGTTCCTTTAATCCAAGCGCTTTCGGCTATACATTTAGCCATTTTCAAGGATTAAATATTTTAACTGTTAAATAAAAAATACTTTGTTGTATTATGTTTCATAAAATGTTTTCATTTTTCAAAACACAGTTAACAAATTGTGTCCATGTTGAAAGTTAATATTATTAAGTGTCGTTTTTTTTGTTTTTTATTAATAAGGCTTCCATTATTTTTAGCCTTTTTTTGCTTGTAAATGATGCTATTATATTAGTGTTGTCAACAAGTATGTTACGAATAGGTTCCGATAGGT